TTTCTATCTGTAGATTTTGTATCATTTCTAAATTTTCATTTATTTTGTCATCTTGTTCTTGTATTGCCTTTTGAAATCATTCTAGGGTTTTATCCAGTTTTGTAAGTGTTTTCCTTAATCTATCTCTCAATCCATTGATGGAATCTAAATATAATTCATTTGAATTCCTTATGAGAGTCTTCTAATGCTGCTGCTTCCTCAGGGATGTGTTCTGGGTCTGTATACTTGTCTCTTGTTTCTCTTGCTTCTTTGTGTGGACTGTAATGCTTTGTCATCTCTGAGACATTGTAATGTTTTCGTGTTTATATTTACTTGGTGATCGTATGTTGGAGTGATTTTCCCACGATTTTTGTTTTGTTTGGATGTTATCTATGTAAGCAGGGTACTGTGCTCCTCTCTTTGTTAGTTGGCAGCACTTACACACTCACCACCTGTCTCCTTTCCCGTTGTCAGCCTACCATATGTCCCTGCTGTCCTTGGCAAACAGAGCCTATTCTTAGGTGCTTGGAATCTGAATGAGAATGCTTTCACTTTATGCAATATGGCTGCCACTTGTAAACATTCAAAATGGCTGCACTCTCAGTCACTTTAAGTATCCAAGATAGCCACTGCTTGTAAACAGTCAAAATGACTGCACCCTCTGGACAGCTGAAAGTCCACAGCTCAGGTTGTTTCCCTTTCTAATGAGCCACCAGTGCAGTCATCCCTGCAGCTGTTGGCAACCAGGGCTAATCTTTAGGTCAGTTCTCAGGTCCCAACACCACTTGGAAATATTCAGGCTGTTGATACTGTCAGGGTAAGCTGACAGTCCTCAGCTTCGTCTGTCTCTGTACTCACTGTTTTTATACAGGTTTTTCCACTAATTGGTGCCTAATCCACTTCTCTGTACTTCCTAGAGCACAGGGCTCTAGGATTATCTTCTGTATGTCTGTCAATTGGTTTCTCTTTTTTTTGTTGAAGAGGGTCTGTGTCACTTGTCTGCCTATTTTGTCATCTTACTGGAAGTCCTTACCTCGATCACTCTTAACAGAAGCTTGGTGACCCCTAAACAATGACTTCCTCTTTCCCCCTCTCTCCAGCCCCTAACAACCACTAACAAACTTTGGTCTCTACGTATTTGCATATTCTAGATATTCCATATAAATGGGAATCCTACAATATTTATGCTTTTGTGACAGACTTATTTCACTCATCATAATGTTGTCAGGGTTCTTGCATGTTGTAGTGTATATCAGGACTTCATTTCTTCTTATGGCTGAGTATTATTCCATTATGTGTATATACCACATTTTGTTTATCCATTCATCTGTTGATGGGCATTTAGGTTGTTCTGCTATTGGGCTATTGTGAATAATGCTGCAGTGAACATTGGTGTACAAGTATCTCTTTGTGTTCGTAATTTCTTTGGATACATCTAGGAAGTCGAATTGCTAGATCTCATGGCAATTCTGTGTTTAACTTTGAGGAACCTCCAAACTGTTTTTCACAGGGGCTACACTATTTTACAGTCCTCTCAGCAAGGATGAGTGTTCTAATTTCTCCATATCCTTGCCAGCACTTGTCGTTTATCCTTTTTCTTTTTTAATCATATCCATCTTAGTGGGGATGAAGTGATAACATCATTGTGATTTTGATTTGCATCTCCCTAAGGAGCTCTGGGAGCTCTGGTGGCATAGTGCTTAAGGCATTTAACTTAACCAGAAAGCTAGTGGATCAAACCCACCAGCCACTCCTGGGAAGGGAGATTGGGCAATCTGCTTCTGTAGTGATACCACCTCGGAAACCCAAGGAGGAGTCGCTATGAGTTGGACTTGACAGCAGTGAGGTTTTTTTTGGGGGGGGTGTTAATAAGCTCTGGTGGATGGGGATAAGGCATTTGGCTGCTACCCAGAAGGTTGGGCTTTGCACCCACCAGCTGCTCTGTGGAAGGAACATGAGGCAGTGTGCTTCCATAAAGATTTATAGCTTTGGAAACCCAGTGGGGGTCACTATGAATTAGAATTGATTTGATGGCAGTGTTTTTTTTTTTTTTTTAATGACTATTGAGGGAGCGCTGGTGGTGCAGTGGTTACAGTGCTTGACTGCAGACCAGAAGTTGGTTTAAACTGAACCCAACAGTTGTTCCCTGGGAAAAGATGTGGCAGTCGGCTTCTGTAAAGATTTATAGCCTCGAAAACCCTGTGGGGCATTTTTATCCTTTTGGGTCACCTTGAGTCACAATCGACTAGATGGCAGTAGGTTTGGTTTTTTTTGCAACGACATGATGTTGACCATTTTTCATGTACTTGTTGCCATTAGTATATTTTCTTTGATGAAATTCAAGTCCTTTGCCCATTTGTTAAACTGTTGTTGTTGTTAAGTTGTAAGAGTTCCTTAAATATTCTGGATAGTAAACCTTTATCAGATACATGGTTCCTCAACCATTTTCCTCTTGATTGGACATTAGGTTGTAATGTCTCTGTATTTTAACTGTGCCGTGTTGAAAATCTTTCTATCTATGAGAACTTGTACGAGTTTTTTTTTTCCTGAGATACAGACTAAGAAATGGAATTGATTGATTGAAAAGTATCTGTACTTTTAATATTTTAATAGATAATGTGAAATTATTCTCTTAAGGGACTATATTTTACATTCCCACTAGTACTTGATACTATTTGTTCCTCTGTGTCCTTACTAATACTTAATATCATCAGAACTGAAAAATTAAGTTTCACTTCCCTGATTTCTAGTGAGATTGAGAATCTTTTCATGCGTTTTTTTTTTTTTTTTTTTCCTGTCAGGGAGAGGGGGCTATGGGGTAAGGTTTCTACCATTTAAAATAGACTGGTATCTTTTTTGCTTGTGGTTGTGAAATTTCTCCCTATGTATCTGGGTGGGTCTTTTTCATTTCTGGGAAATTTTTTTTGTATCATTTTCTCCTTCTCTTTCTTTTCTACTTGGGGAATGAACTCTAGATATTGAAAATTTTGGATCTTAGTCTCTGTATTATTTATCTTTTTCTTTTGGAGTTTTTCGTCCTTATATACAGCATTCTGGGAAAATTCCTTCGTGTAATCTTCCAGATTTTTTATTAAACTGTGTCCATTCTGACATCCAACTAGCCCAGCTACTGAGTTTCTTATTTGGACCACAGTAGCTTCTACCTTTTAGATTTCTTCTTGGCTCTTTTTTGAAACAACATGTTCTTTATGTACATAATGTCCTGTTTTAACCCCTAGGATGTGCTAGATCTGTTTTATTAAAGAATCTTTCCTTTTAAAGTCTCCTTTTATTTGTTTCACTGAGTCTTGTTCACTCGAATATTATTTCTACTCTCACTGGGTTTGGTCCTCTTTAGTTGTATTGATTTTCCAAAGTACATATCAAACCATTTAGAAATGCTTCCAGCAAAAATAATAAAAGTGTGCAAATGAAAATATATCTTGCTATCTTGTCCTTGATGTTATTGTGTGCCTTTGAGTGGATTCTGACTCAGTGGGTCTATATGACAGTATAGAGCCTGTCCTGTAGGATTTCCCAGGCTGTAATCTTTATCGGGAGCAGATCTCCAGGTCTTTTCTCTCACGGAGCCACTGGAAAGTTCAAACCACCTACCTTTTAGTCAGTAGCCACATCCTTAACCATTGAGCCGTTTTGTCTTCTCTACATCCTGATGGTGTTGAACATATTAAGCTTTCCTGTAGATATATCTACATTTCCTTTAGGTACATCTGTAGATAACAAATTCTTATTCAGATTTATCAATGTTTTGTTCATTTACTAAGTAGTTATTTAGTGTTTCCTTTGTGCCAGGCATTGTCTAAGGTGCTAGATGATATTAACTGCTTATGTTAAAATGCATTATTGATCTGACATAATTGTGAGAAGAGAAGCAGTGGGAATTTATTTGAATTAAACAGTTTGATTTTAGTGAAATGATTTAAGAATGCAATTTCAAAATATTGCCAAGAAGGAGTTGGAAACAAACTATGGCTCAGCTTCATAGTAGTTCTATCTTCTAAACTCTCAGAAGTTGATAATGGATATATCTTTGATTATAGTCATAACTAGCACAGATTAAAGTTTGAACAATAAAAGACTCCAAAGCTGGCTGATAACTTCAGTTGTTTTGTTAAGGGCTTTTAATATCTTTATGAAATAAACACTAGATTTATTGTCCTTTAACAAATTGCTTTCTTCAACATGTTGTGATTAAGATATGTTCAGTAGTCATTGGTTTTAGATGCTTAATTTGGAATTTGTCAGTGAACTTGGGATTCTGGCAGTTGGATGTATATCACCCAAACTCTCTGAAAATTAAATATAATTGAGATTTTTGAGAAGACTTCCTAAAAATTTCTTTATGCCACATTGTCAGTATTTACTGGTATAAAGATACAAGCTAATCACCACTTATGCCAACTTTTTTCTGAAAAGCCTGTCAGGCTCACACTTTAGTAATTTTTTTTTTTTTTTGCTAGATAAAAGTTTCTTTATTTTACAAAAGAGAAATTTACTTGAACGTTATCTCTTCCTGATGACATTTTGGGAAGCATGTAAGTAGCAAGGTGACAATTTTTAGTCTGTTGAGGGGCTCCTTTCTATTGCATGCTGGGACTTGGTAGGAGGAACCTCTTAGAGCTACGGCAGTAACCTGTGACCTCTTGTTTGGCACAGATCCCGGATTACAGAAATGCAGTGATTGTGGCCAAGTCACCAGCCTCAGCCAAGAGGTAGGTAGTATTTTAATGACCTCTGCTTGGGACTGCTTCTGAAGATTGGTTCTCTGGCTGAGTACTAGGCCTTCTGAATGTTCTGTTGTTACCATCTTATTTTCCTTCATGCATTGCATATTTCAGAGACTCATTCTGCCAGCTCTATATATTAAGTAATGATGTATTTTGTCTTTTCTTTCTTAGTTCCAGTATATGATTTTTGGTCATTTTTCTTGATCAAAACCATGTAGTATTTAACTAGGAAGTCCTGGGTGAGCACTAAACTAGTTTAGTGCTTTGATCACTCTTCAGTTGAGGACCATTGTTGTTGGTCTTTAAATCTGGCATTTAAAACAGCAGTTGTAGTTGTTCACTGCCTCTTACTCAATGATCTCAGTAATTTATTAACAAAATAGTATCAGTTGAGAGGCCACTTACTTGTGTGAGTTAAACATTTGTATAAGTGAAACAAAACCAAAGCACCCTAAGTCTCATATTGGGACAGTCTTGAGAAAGTCAGTAGAGCTAGTTATATGTCCTGGGATAACTAGTTAGTTAGTAATACATTACCTAAAATTGTATTTTGGTTGAGAGAATGTCATAAATCAGTGTTTTATGGAGACCCTATTACATTGGAGAGGGAAAGAAAAAAACCAAATGGAAGAATAAAGGCTTTTTCCTAAAAAGGCCCTTTAAAAATGATTCTCTACCAGTGAAGCCCTGTGCTCATTGGGTCACCGTTGAGTCCTGTGGAGTGAAGGAAAATGAACAGGACCTCCATCTTGGGCCCACGGGCTGAGGACAAAGCAAAGATTTAAAAATGGCTACAAATAAGTAGCTTTAAATTATGGATTAAAAATAAGTTAGTTTATTAAATAAAATGGATTGGCATTTGTGATAAATATCTTTAATACCACTGGTTCTTGATAAAAGCACTGTTGCACATTCCCCGAGTTAGCCTCACAGTATAGCCCAGCTGGCCATGTGCCTCCAGAAGCTCAGCATTCAGATCTCCATGTGGTTAGTTTAACTCATTTTGGAATATTGAACATTTCCAACAGCTTTTCAAAATATTAAAGTTCAATTTAGTAATTTATACATATGTATATATAATATATAAGGAGCTCTCATGGCATAGTGCCTAAGGCATTTGACTGCTATCTAGAAGGTAGGTGGTTCAAACCCACCAGCCGCCCCTTGGAGGGAAGACTGGGCAGTCTACTTCCATAAAAATAAACCGCCTTGGATACCCAAAGGGGGTCGCTGTGAGTTGGATTTGATTCAATGGCAGTGAGTTTGGTTTTTGGTTTATATGTAATACATACACTTTTTTTAGTGTGACACTTTTTTTGTTGTTTTTATTTCTTTTTGTTCTCTCTGCTCATCTTCCTTCTACCCTCCCTGCTCCTATCATACATAGTAATGATCTCTGCCTTGTTTTCTGTATGCTCATATAGTTGTATACAAATACATATATATTCATGTATACTTGTGGGCACACATAAGGTGTTTTGGTCATTATTTTTCAAAAATAACCTTATATTATAAATGGTTATTCTGAGTTTTGCATTTCTCACCCAGCAGTACTTTATAGTAGTGCCCTCTCCCCATGCTAGTTGGTATAGCCCTGGTTGTGATTTTTAATGGCTACAGAGGAATCTCTGATGGAGTTGTATGAATTATTCAGCTGTTCTCCCACTGATGGGCTCTGTCCCAGGATTTTACTATAAACAATGCTGCATGTACATCACTTGATGTGCCAGCGTCTTTATTTTATAGGATATGTCGCTGTTATACCCAGTGTGATTTCTGGGTCAGAGGGTGGAGGTATTTTTAATTTTAATAGATGCTGCCTGATTTCTTTCCAGAAAGGCTGTAATGTTTCTGTCGCCAGCAGTTTTTGAAAGGATCTTTTCCCCACAGTCCTTCAGGCAAAGAGATGTTACACCTTTTAAATTTTCTAGTCATCGGACCTAATGTGATATAGCAGTTAGATCTTTTTTTTAAGTAGTGGTATAATACGTGTGTGTGTGTGTGTAAAAGAAAACATTTGCCATTACAGCCATTTTGTGTGTATTCATGGACATTAATAGTCACTGTGTTGTTACAAAAATCACCACTATCCATTTCCAATTTTTTTCATCATCCTCAGCAGAAACTCAGTGCCCCTTAAGCAGTACTTCCCCTTACCCTCCTCCTGCCTACTCCTGGTAACCATTAATAAGATTTGGTCTCTATGCATTTAGCTATTCTAGGTATTTCATATGTGGGATCATACAATATTTGCCCTTTTCTGTCTGATTTATTTCACTCAGCATGTTTTCAGGGTTCATCATGTTGTAGCATGTATGAGAATATATACGTATATATAGAAAGAGATAGAGTATTGTATTTTCAGTGAAAGTTTACTTGGCAAATTAAGTTGTCTTTTGACAATTTCTATACAAATTGTTCATTGACATTACAGTAAAACATGAAAGCTGGAACCTGTAAGGGGGAACCTGTCAGAGAAGGAAAACTCAAATATTTTCCACTAAAAAGAATGATAGAAAAGTATTAAGACTGCACCTGGTCAAAGGCAGAAAACTTGTGAGACCCAGAAAAATAAGGCAGTTCCATTGAGTTCTTACTTTCATAGGTTTCATTTTTCATAATGTGTCATTTTCTTTAATTCTGTTACAGTTGTCCTGTCTCATTACTCTAGTTTCCCTGCTTGCTTATCTTTTCATTTTTGCTTTAGAGTAATTGTTGACATTTTGGTGTCATATAGATATTTTTTAATGGAGCATCATACTCGTGTAATAGTCTTTATTTTGTGTCTAACCTGTTACTTCCTTAACCTTGGGATAGTTTCAGTTCAAGGTTTAAATAGTATAGTTGGCCCTCTGTATCTATGGGTTCTGCATCCGTGGATTCAACCAACTGTGGATTGAAAATATTCAAGGGGGAAAAAACAATTAAGTGGTCAAAGTAGTCCTTCAAAGGCTAAGAGGGAGTGTATAGTGCTATTTATGTAGCATTTATGTTATATTAGGTATCATAAGTGATCTAGAGATGATTTAAGTATATGGGAGAATGTGCATAGGTTATCTGCAAATACTTTGCTTTTTCTTTCCTTTTTTTTTTTTAAATTTCTGTACCTATCTAACAGTGTGGGAGCTCTGGTAGCACAGTGGCTAAAGGCACTTGACTGCTAACCAGAAGGCTGATGGTTCAAACCCACCAGCCACTCCTCGGAAGGAAGATGGGGCAATCTACTTCC